CCCCCGCCCGGGGAACTGTTCGGAAGCACAGACGGTGTTAAGAGTTTCCGAAGGGAACCTCTTCGGGGGGTTGGGGCGCCCCCGGGCCTCCAACCCAGGCCGCCCCCTCAAAAATTACTCCCCTCTTCAAATGGGCCCCCTTCAAGCGACAAACCAGCAACCTAAGCCAAAGAGAAAGAAATTGAGGAGCTCAAGTTCGAGAAAAACCCCGTTCCCCAAGTGTAATCGGCGTTCGGGCCCCCGGTGCGCATGCCCGGGGCCGGGGGCTGTGGGGGGTTCAGGGATCCCGGGGTTGGGGGTAAGGAGGGCGGCCAGCAGCGAAGGAGAGCCTCCGGGGCCGGGTCCCGAGGAGCCAGGCCCGCAGACACGTGGGGTCGGAGGGCAGGGTGAAAGGGCAGCCTCCCGAGGGGGCGGGAGGGGGGCGGGCAGGGAAGGTTGCAGGCGCCAAAGGGTTAATTTAAAATGACAGCGCCAGGCTGGTGGGAAAGATGCTTGGAGTGGGGAAGGAAGAGCTGGTTTGCGAGCGGTTGGAAATGCCGTGGTGGGGTGCACCCGTGGCGGCTTTGTGGCCGGGGTGGCAGGAAAGGGCCGCCGCGTTAGAAAGGCAGGTCCTGGAGGAGAGGGACGCGGCAGCTGTTGCTCCCCGCACGGCTGCAGCATCTCTGGGCAGGAGCGTGGTCGGCCCGCTCACCGGCAGAGGGGGTTCACCGTGGAACCCTGTTTCCGTTTTCGTAAATGATAGCAAGAGAATGACTGCTTTCGAGTTCAGTTGTTTTGTTTTTTTTAAATTGGAATCTGTTCTAAAACCTGACCCACTGAGCGGCTCCCTTGGATAAGAATGGTGTTTAGCCCTGGCTGGTGTGGCTCAGTGGATGGAGCGTCAGCCTGCGGACTGAAGGGTCCCAGGTTGGTTCTGGTCAAGGGCACATGCCCAGGTTGCCGGCTCGATCCCCAGTAGGGAAGGTGCGGGAGGCAGCCAGTCAATGATTCTCTCTCATCATTGATGTTTCTGTCACTCTTTCCCTCTCCCTTCCTCTCTGAAATTAATAAAGATATATTTTTTTAAAAAAGAATGGTGCTTAGAGGCTGGAAGGTGTTAAGGCAGCAGGGGAAAGTGAGCTTATTAAGTGTGTTACATAGACCCCTCCACCCCCCACCCCCAAATCTCTATATTTTAGAATCTTAAGGTAGCAGGGAAGTCATTTATTATTTATTTGTACTTCTGAGCTGCCTTAAGTTATTATTTATTTGTACTTCTGAGCTGCCTTAAGGGCACCTTATGTGCTGAAACATATTCCTTCTGTGCTAGCATACCTTGCAGCTGCCTAAAAATAAACATGGTTTCTACAATTGTGTTAAGGTTGCAGCAGTCCCTGCTCTCTCTCTCTCTCTCTCTCTCTCTCTCTCTCTCTCTCTCTCTCTCTGCCAAGGGCTGAGCAAGGGAGCAGAGGGCTATTCATTGTGTTTGCTTTCCAAATGAATTGCATTAGGCAGCGGCTGTTGTATTGAAGGATGCATTCTGCAAGGTGGAAGGGGAGCTGGGGTAGATTTCATGAAAACACCTCATGGTGTTGATTTGTGGAAGTTACTCAACATGGAGGTGGCACTGCTCAGCGACTGTACTGCAGTCTAGGGGTGTGATGGTACCGTAATTACAACACACCATACCCCTACATTGGAGGGGGAGCAGGAGAAGAAATCAAGGAAATGTCACCCACAAACCATGGTTAGGTAATGTTCAGGCTGCGAGTCAAAACAGAAGGGGATGAGATGAACTCTGGTGACGGGGGCTCTGCTGGTTGTGGAGGTTTCTCTCAGTTCCGGAGGTAATGGCCTCTTTGCAGATGTTCCTAGGCAGGAAAAGTGAGGTGAGTTAAGGATAGAGGGTCAGTCTGAACTTGGCATTCGCTGCTGCTGTTGTGTATTGCAGTCTTAGTGTTGTTTAAGCTTGTTTCTCTTTTTCCAGTTGTTGTTTGGCTTCTACTGAAATCTGTGTACAGCTGAGTAGATGTCACGGAGGCAACATCAATATCACTGTCTCTAACCTAAATAAAATTCTTATTTATAGGGTATAAGTAGCACAGTTGGCACCTTTTCTCAGAACATTTTAATGTGATGTTTTCAGTGATAATAGACTTCCATTTTCTATTTGATTCTGTAGTTCTCCCTTTAGAGTTACAAGACCACTTTTAGTCAATATTCAGATAAATAGGTGTCATTTTCTTCTGTTGTCAAGTGCAAAGCAGCAAAGCAGTGTGCATATTTCATCATTGATAGGATTTATGGGTAATACTTTCTATTTCAATTCTTCCAAATGTTCATTGTTTAGATGACACCCATCCACCCAACCAGACCCCTTTCAAATAACACTGCAATCCCTATTGGCACTGTGACTGTGTGAGCTTTTAATTCCTTCTCAATGCACTCTTTGGACTTTGCCCTTGCGTATAGCGTCTTGGAGTGGAAGTAGAGAGGATAGGATTTGGAGAACCCTAGGGCCTCCTAAAAGAACCTAAGGTTAATTCTGGAAACTACCAAGCTGACTTGGAGCCACATGGTTAGCCGTCGCAGAGACCATGCCATTTAAAAGGCATGTTGTGGCCCCTCCCAATGAAGAGGATCTTCTTTCAGAAGAATGAACTACAAATTCCCCCACGTCCCTACCCAGCTAGGTTAGCCCCTAAAATTAAGCAATGTAATGTTCCTTGTCTTCTCTCGTGTGTTTAAGGAAAACTATTTAGATTAATGTCTGCCTGTTAAAAATAAGTTGGATTGCTGTGGTCCATGGAAAGAGGTGGAAGACCAGTTGGATTCCTACGTGGCCTAAGTACCTGCATTTAATTTTTTGTGTATTAAGTCTGCATTTTGCCACTCTCTTTTAGCTCCTTGCTCGGATTGAACGTATGGAAAGGCGGATGCAGCTGGTAAAGAAGGATAACGAGAAAGAAAGGCATAAGCTGTTTCAGGGCTATGAAACTGAAGAGAGAGAGGAAGCGGAGCTCTCTGAGAAAATTAAACTGGAGTGCCAGCCAGAGCTTTCTGAGACGTCCCAGACTCTGCCTCCCAAGCCTTTCTCATGTGGGCGGAGTGGAAAGGGACACAAAAGGTGTGCTTAACTTCGTTATGCTGTCTGGACATGATGAGGACATTTACTCCCCGTGACTGGCAGTAGGGGATTGGGACTTATAAATTAGCTTTACTACAACCACATTCTGAATTATGAGGTCTTGTGTGTGGAGAAAGTATCTTGAGACATTTTTGTGCAGGCTATAAAAGTCGGTTAGGAACATTTTGGTCACAGTAGTAATTACAGAATGCAGAGTACATCATAAAGAGAATGGACAACAAATGTGACAGCTGAGTTTCTTAAAGAAAACTATAGCAGTTCACTTCAAGTCAGGAAGTGTTAAACTCCTTCATTGTGTTAGGTATTGGTGGATATAAAAAAATAAGATCCAAAAAAAAGTAAGATCTAACTGTCCTTAGACTCAAAGAGATTAGCTGAAAGCATGGCATAAATTTTAAAAACTAAGAATTCGACTGCAATAAAATATGCAGATAGACAACAGTAAGATGAACTAAGTTTTCTAAGATTCAGGGATAGTAAAGATTATTTTGAGTTAAGTAGGAGATGGATCTTGAAAAAGAAGTATAGACTTTAGGTTGCTAAAAAGAAACGGAGATGGCATTCTAGGAATGTGGGGTAGTGGGGGAGCAGGGTAGTGGTAGGAGAAAGAGAGCCAGCAGATAGCAAGAAAAAAGAAATAGAGATTGTAACTATCGTAGTATAGGATTAGGGGGGTGGGAGGAGAAATAAGAGATTGGTCTTTGGTTGACAGTAATGAAATAAGCCACAGGGTAGTGGCACCTAATATTAGCTGAAGGGTCTTGAATAAAATAGGGACCTTTTTAGTTTTAGTAGGCAATAGAATGCTATAGAAGTTTTTAAGCATGTAAATTCATTTGTTCAATAAACATTTACAAAGGGTCTATTATATATACTGTTAAGCATGAGATTATTCCTGCTTATGACTGCCAAATGAACCTAGATATTTAGATACCTGAATACAAGCTAGTTCTCTTACCCCAAAATGAAATCAAATCAGATTTTATCCAAGAGTCAATGAATTGTATTATGTTTTCTCCCCTATCTAATAGGAAATCCCCATTTGGAAGTACAGAAAGAAAGATTCCTGTTAAAAAGCTGGCTCCTGAATTTTCAAAAGTCAAAACAAAAACTCCTAAGCACTCTCCCATTAAAGAGGAACCCTGTGGTTCCTTATCTGAAACTGTTTGTAAGCGTGAATTGAGGAGCCAAGAAACTCCAGAAAAGACCCGGTCTTCAGTGGACACCCCGCCAAGACTCACCACTCCCCAGAAGGGACCCAGCACCCATCCCAAGGAGAAAGCCTTCTCAAGTGAGATCGAAGATTTGCCGTACCTTTCCACCACAGAAATGTATTTGTGTCGTTGGCACCAGCCTCCCCCATCACCGTTACCATTACGGGAATCCTCTCCAAAGAAGGAGGAGACTGTAGCAAGTAAGGCATAGAGAACACTTGCTCTTATACCCTAGTGGTGGCGGTCAAGCTAACAAGTGTGAAAATGCCCTTGGCATTTTTTAAAAAGTGCAATCAATAAAGCAGAGTTCTGTCAAGAATGAGTAAGTTAACAGCCAGAGACAGACACTGTGCAGGCATTGCAAATAGATGGAATTACAGCAAAATGTGCTCAATGTATTTGCCTGCTTACAACACTGGGAGATGTGTTTGCCAGTAAGTTGCTCATCACAAGAGCACCAGACTTGGGGGTGTAATCTCCGGCAACTTGCATGCCCTCTGAAAGAAGGGTTTTCTGTGCTGTGAAATGCATAGAACTTATACTTTGCTATGCACGACTGTTCCTGCAATTGATATTGTGTGAAACCTGGGAGGGTGGTCTTTGGGTGTTCTCAGGGGCCAATGGTAATTTTTGGGTTGGGGAGCCAGCTTGGGGTGGGGAATTTCACCTGGGCCTCCGCTCTTTAACTATATAAACATTTATCTGTATCTCTATGTCCCGGTCTGGGGGGCAGGAGGAATCTATAAAAGACCAACAGTCTTACTTTATCTTACTATACTTCACAAAGGTTCTAAATGTGAAGAGTTTACTTGGATTGCAGTAGCCCATTGGTTGTTCATATATTTAAATAAAATGGTCTACAAACTATTTTTCAAACAATAAGGACTATCTTGGGATATCTGAGCTGCTTGGGAGGGTGTGGGGTGTGGGACCTTGGTCTTCATTCCCTTTTTTCTTTATGGCTTCCACACAGAGATACTCCCCTATCTCCTACATCAATCAGTAACTGCAATGTGCCTTCAATTGTGTAATGTTAGTCTGTGACAGTCACTGTGGGTGCTCCGGGTGATGGTCGGGGAGGCCTTCTTGAATAGAGCTGCAGCCCCGAGTTTCTACCACTGTGTCTTGCCCCAGCAGGGATGGGGATGGGAATCCATTCCAATAAGATAAGAGCATTCTCCAGGCTTTGTCAGGCTGTTCTGGTTACCAAATTAAGTGGGGAAGATAGATTACTCTTCTTAATTATCTAAAATTCATTAGGCCTCACATTTGAGTACATGAAATAGACCAGGATCCTGACCTAGGTTTAGGTTTTTTGTTGGTTCAGTCAGTTGAACAGGTTCATCCTTAAGTTAACCTTCTTGCTGTCATGGCAATACTGTGTAACAAGAGAAACGGTGAAGCAACTTCCCATCCGGGATTGGGAAATAGCTTGGTCCAGAGCTGTTCTATGTGACTGGCTGTTTTTGAAAACCGTATCTGCCCTAGTACAGAACATGTGAAGCACCTCTGAGATTGTGGGCATAGCAGGCAGTACAGAAGGAGTCTGATTGGGGGGGTGGGGGGATCCCAGTCCTTTGAGGAGCCTGAGTTGTGAATAACATGTGAATCCTTATTCTTGATGCCCTATCTCAAGAGGAAGTCTCAATGGCTTGTTCTAAGGAAGCCAAAGTCTTTGTGCATGTTGTTCAGGCTGGACCAGCAAGGTAGTTTGTGTGGAGGGAGGAGGGAGCTGTTTAAGAAGACTACATATGTAAGTTTTGAGAACACTGATCTTTTATTTGAAAAATAGGGTCAACTTTTACTCACCTGCCATGTTCTGAGTTTAAGGTTTGATATCCTTGGCCATCAACTGTTGCAGGGAAACCACCCTAAATAATGAAGAAAAGAAGTCGTCTCAGTGTAAAAAAAAAAGTGGTGGGCTTATTTTCTTTTCTTTTGTCTGTTGTTCCCTCTTCCCCTCCCCCAGAGAGAAATTCTCAAAAGAACAACTCAAAAAAACCAAATGGCTTCCTAGTGAGAACGTCAGTGATGCTCCTTTCCTCCATTTTGGGTATGGGCTTTTTTTCTTTTTACACTGAGATGATTCTTCTTTCCTGCATTATTTAGGGTGTCTGATGCCATCAAGTGTTGCAGGAGAAACTTCAGTCTTGGCTGGTGAGTAGAATAGGAATTGTGCCGGCTGGGCCTGGGGGGGCTGGGGGGCGGGATGGTGGATGGTTGGGAGCTGCGTTCCCCATCAGCTGGATGTGGGAGAGTGAGACTCCTTGGTGTATGATTACACTATAGACTTCAAAATGACTACAAATTTCAGTTGTTTTTCAGGAACTGCAATAGCATCCATTATATGAATTGTCAGGTATTGGCTTAGGGTTTTTTTGTGATCCTGTGTTTGGCAGACTGCAATGGCATTTTAGGTTTTTTATACCATAGCGAGGACACTGAATATGGCTTCAGGTGAGGCCATAGAATGGATTCCTATCACTTGGTAACTTTGTCTAACTGGGGAGAGACCTCTTGTCCTAGTGAATAGGAGGAGGGTTGTGTGATCTTGGATTTAAGAGTGGTTCCACCCCTCCTCCCTTTCTTTTTCTTTTTCTCTTTTTTTTCTCTAGTTCCTTCTTGGAGGGACCACTCAGTAGAGCCTCTAAGGGACCCAAATCCTTCAGACCTTTTGGAGGTAGGTACCCAAGACCTGTCAGTGGAAGGTAGTGAGAGACAGAGTAGAAATAGGAGTGTAATGTGAATATGTCATAATAACTGTATGGATGGGCTAAATAAAACCTTAAAGCCAGAAGGTTCCTTGAGAGATTATCCACTCCAACTCTTGGTGTATAGGTGAGAAAACTGAGGTCCAGGGTGGTGAAATAATTCAGCTAGGGCGTGTTCAAAGCTAGAGTTCATGTTAAGTAGAAAAGTTAGCATGAACCACCACTCAGCAACAAAATTATATATTCCAAACTCATTTGATTCTTAAAAGTTTGATATTTATTTTAAACTCTGATTCTTATCAAGTAAGGGGGATTTATGACTGTCTCATGAGTTGCTTTAGTTTAATGTGACTTCCACTTTGGAAAGTTATGGAAATGACTTTGAAATTTGGAGATTCCACAAGGTTGGGGATAGGGGAAGGAGAATGTGTTTTATTGATTCTGTTACCAGGAGGTTCCCATAATATCCATAGAACTCACAGACTCAGGTGGGACCTGAAGGTGAAAGATTTTACCTTCTTGGAAGCTGGAAGTGAATTAGTATATGTGCGTCACATGGTGATAAAAAGCTTATCAAATTCTGTTCTTTACACAGAACCTAGATGACAGTGTGTTTTCAAAGCGGCATGCAAAACTGGAGCTGGATGAAAAGAGAAGGAAAAGGTGAGGCTAGAGATGTTCATCCTGGGAACAACTGAGCCCTAGGACCCTGACACCTCTCTCATCCATGCTGTGGAGAGTCCTGGGTCTCCTAACACTCTTAAATTACTGGCTTCCCAGTTGGTTGAGTATCTTTGTTTGAAGTGGTAGTTGTAGGTAAAATGTTTGGCTTCTTTTTCTTCGGGTGTGCCCTTTCTCAGTTCCACTCTCTGTTGAACATCAGCACATGATTTGAACTGCTAGACCTAAACAGTGTTCTGTAACCAGGCAGGCAGTTCTCTGGAAAAAAAATACAATCCTCCACCCTATCCCGCTACCCCCAATCAAGAGTCAGCAAAGATCTTCCTAGCATCTGGATTGTGTGAGTTGCTTTTATAGAGAAGGTTTTCAGTAATGTTGGGTTTGTTTGTTTTGTTTGTCTGGTTTGTTTTTCCCAGATGGGATATTCAGAGGATCAGGGAACAAAGAATTTTACAGCGACTGCAGCTCAGAATGTATAAAAAGAAAGGAATTCAGGAATCTGAGCCTGAGGTTACCTCATTTTTCCCTGAGCCAGATGATGGTAAGTTTTGTCTATCTTAAAAAGTAGATGTTTTTTTAAAGAAGAAATAAGGGCACAAGGCTCCAGGTTACAACTTGTTCTGAATGAATGAACAGTATGTTGGAGCAGGTATAGTTGACAGACCTTTCTCATCTACATCACTAACAAGGTTGCATTTGGCTTTCTTCCATAGTTGAAAGTTTGATGATTACTCCCTTCTTGCCTGTTGTAGCATTTGGACGACCATTACCAAAATTAACTCCACAGTAAGTATAAAGGGTTCTTTTTCCCTCCCCTCTCAGGTAGCTGGTACTTCACCTCCCTTTCAGACTGTATGAAAACCTGGATATAAGTGGAACGGGTAGGTTAGGGGTTAGCCATGGTTCTTTGACAGAAGTGAGACTACCTGGGCAACTAGCTTTTGCAGTGATAAGATTCCCAAGCCCAGAAATAGGATTTTTAAGTTGGAAATAGATTATTCAATCACTTTGAGGCAGGAAAGACATTCTAAAGTTGGGACTTTGGAGTCAGGGCTAGGAGTGGTGAGGGACATTGTGTGTGGTTTTTTTTCAGAGTTATTCTCATGTCCACACTGATGCCCTCTAGTCTTAGACGTTGATTTCTTTATCCTTTTTGCCAGGAATTTTGAGCTGCCCTGGTTGGATGAGCGTAGCCGATGCAGGTTGGAGATCCAGAAGAAGCAAACACCTCACCGGACGTGTAGGAAATAACTGTGCTGGCAAGAACCTTCTGTCTTCAGATAGTTGTAGCGTGCCATTCCCAGAGAGTGGCAGAGACCTGTATATGTGACCTGTGTCCTCATGTATGTTATTCACTGATAATGCCCTTCCATACTCCCTTGATCTTGGTTTTGTTTTCATCATTCTGATTTCACAAAAACTCTTTCATTGGGCTAATTGTGAGTTATAGAAGGTGATTGGGATATCTTTTCCTCTTTTGGGGAAATGAGCTCTCAATCTAAATCTCTAGGGTGGCAGATTTGGAAGCTTGCAGGGTCTGCTTCTATACATTTGCCTATGTTAATGGGGTAAAAGGGCTCTTTCATTACACTTGTGGAAATAAAGCATCCCCTGCCGTTAGATCTGTGCTGCATGGCACTCTTCTTGCCCTAGTATACCCTTCCATGTAGTTTGAGTATAGTGGTTTTTACCCTAAAACAAAACAAAACAAAAAAACCCAACACCATGAGCTTAAGGACCAGATGAGGAATTATTGAAGTGATGAAGCAAGTCATCTTCACAGGGTAGAAGTGTTTGGAGAGTTTGTAGATAAATATCTGAAAAGACAGTTCTCTTAAAACTACTCTGTGATATAGCCATGTGGGAAAGGATGTTTGGCTGTGATTTTTCTTTTTTTTGAGTTAATGGGTAACTGAATTTTTCCCCCCACCCCTCAAAAAATAAAATCTTTGGAAAACAGAATGGGGATGGTTACTTTTGGACAAGTTATGGCTCTAAACGAAAGCAGTTGACATTTGGGGATGGCATGCCAGAACCTGTATAGATGTCCTTGTGTCACATCACTTCTCAAGTATCCCTTTGTTGGGCTTTATCCTTTTAGCTGAGCTCTTGGTGGTGGGATAGAAATTTAGGGAGGGTGGGGGGTGTATATGGAAATATGTGCTTCCTTTGGCTCGCAAATGTCTACATCTTTAAACAAACAGGTGTACCTATTCACTTTGTAAAAACTGATTTGTATGTGTACCATCTTGGTCCACCACCACCACCACACCCCTTTTGTTAAAAAATGTCAGCCCAGCACTCCAGGCCACTTTAGTCTCAGTGTAAGATCCCTGTAACTATCTGGAAGGAAAATAGAGCCGAGACCTCTGGTCTTCAATATATAGGAATTGCCTTTCTTTAGTCTTCAGGACTACCGTGTGAAAACAAGTAGGGGCCTAATCTCCCAGAAGATAGGGACTTTCATCCTTGAAGAGAGTATGTCCCCAGATTATTAGCACTTTTAGAGGAGAAGCCAAGGTATGTAGGGTGTGTGGCCGGCCCATCAGTGGAGCATGAGAGAATGGGATACCAATGTGGGAAGAAAAGTTAAGTTCCTCAGGGGCCTCCCACTGCTAGAGCTTTTTGTGAGATGTTAATCTGTGCTCCCTGGGTTTTACTTTTAAAATAATTATTCCGGCAGCACATGGAGTATTCTTGGATGATCTTGCTGCTCTTATTTCTCGTGTGTGTGTGTGTGTGTGTGTGTGTGTGTGTGTGTGTGTGTGTGTGTGGCTTTGGGTTTTCATTTGTAACTCCATCTGCTTAGGACAAGGGAACCTGCTATGAACTTCATTGCAAGAATGTAGAGAGAAATAGGACTTATTCCACTAGGGGCTCTCGTCTCACACCTTGAGAAGAGGAAGGGGCTTTCCAGAGAAACGGCCAGGTTTTCTTTGTTCTCCATCATTTTAACATGGCAAGCTGTTTGGTTTTCCGACTCTGACCTATGTTATGTTTCTTTATAATGTGCCCAAGAAGAAAAAAGACCAGTTAGTGTCTTTACTTTGTTCCTCGATTCCTCGCAGTTTCTTCTTGATTTTCAGCATTTTTATTGGATTCCTAATTTGGATATGAGTTAGCAAATTAATCTTTTGTTTGTGCCCTACCCAAGGGACTCCCCAGATTCTGAACTTGAGCTAGACGAAGAGGAATCCATGAGGTGCTATCTGGCCAGACTTAAGTGGATTCTATTTCCTTGGTTCTCCCTCTACCTAGAACCTCTTATTTTATTGTCCCCTCTTTTAGATCAATTCTCCTTTGATTTGGAGATATTGAGGTTTGTTGAGAAGGATTTTGGAGAGTAGATTAGCAAAGTTCCAAGAGTGAAATTACAGTGTGTTAAGAGTGTGGGGGGAAAATTCATCTTATTTTTTCCCTACATGGAGTACAACACTGTGAAATTCAGTCTTCAACTGAAGGCCCTGCAGTTCTCCTAAAACATAGATCTTTGTTTCTTTCTTTAACAAAGTTTAAGCTAGTGTTAATAAATTAAAAAGAGAAATTGCTTGTCTGTCCACTTCAGCTTTGTTTTAAGCCCATTTCATATTGTTGTCTGTGTTGTAATTCATACTTTTGATACCATTTCTGATGTGTAAAATTGGTTGTCTTGTAAATATCTTATAAAGAGTTCAATTGTAAATAAACTATTGTGGCTGTTAATTTTTGAACTTCTGCTTCAATTTATTTTATTGGGAAGCATTAAACAATTCTGTTTGTAGATTTTATTTATTTTAATATATTTTATTGATTTCAGAAAGGAAGAGAGAAACATCAATGATGAGACTCATTGATCAGCTGCCTCCTGCATGCCCCCCACTGGGTATCTATCGCACAACCAGGGCCTGTGCCCTGACCGGGATGCAATCAAACCGTGACCTCCTGGTTCATAGGTTGATGCTCAACCACTAAGCCACGCTGGCCAAGCTTTTTTTTTTTTTTTTTTTAAACATTAAATCATACATCCTCCATTTTGAACTAGGGCAGTTGGTTTTTGGAACTGGATTTACAAGTTGTCACACTTGGCAACTTGTTTAAACAGTTGAGATCTGTTTGGACCCTGGTTCTATCTCTGAAGGCATCGAGAATGCCTTCTAGTTTCATATTGCCTGTAACTCTGATAAGCATCAGGATCCTTAATCATAACTTGTAAAGATATTACACATGACAGAATCCTGTGCCACAGTGACCTTTTCCCGATATATGTTTATTATTAAGGTGTATTCTTGTAGATGCACTAATAACTTAGCTCACGTATCCTGTATGTCATTATGGTCCAAAGAAAATACAAGTGGGGAAAAAGGTTTACAGTTGTTTTTATGGGATACAATAATTAAATAGTACAAGAATAAACTTGTGCGTACTCACAACTGTAAACCTACTTTTGCCCCACCTGGTATAGTGATTTTTTTTCAGTGCTGACAAACGCCTTGCCAAAATCAAAGCATTTCCCCATCTGGTTAACAAGGAAATCATGTCACTATATTGAACCAACGACGGTTCCCAATCGTCTCTCTTTTTTAAATCAGTTCTAAAATCTTGGTAAGACTAGCATCATGCCAGCCTGCACTTTGGGAGAAGTGATGGCTGGGGTGGAGAGACATGAATGAAGAGGAAATGAGGACGCAGGGAAAGTGCAACAGGAAACCCCGGGCTTCACTGCAGACACCATGGTTTTTCCTTGGCCCTTTAGCCTAAAATGGGAGGGTGTGGCAAACCTGATGATGCAGCAGTACTTTAGAAGTTTACCTTGATTCGTGATTTTACCACACAAATGCAGTAAAGTGATTTGCTTCAAACGTAGGCAGAAACAAATAGGAAAAAAAACCCACCATAAGCAGCTCCAATGCCGCAGTGAAGCTGTGACAGGTCGACGCCTTCCACTCGGAAAGCCCAAGATGGCCGGGCGAGCAGCCTCAGGAGGCTCCCCAAACGCAGACGCCCCTCGCCCTGAGCCTACCCAAAGGAAGTCGGGCGACACACCACGCCCCCTGACGTCACCCATTACGTAATCCGCTCGCCCGCAAACGTGCCGCAGCGCGCCGGGCCCGCCCCCAGCGCCCCGCTCCCGAAAAGCGGGCGGTCAGTGCCTCACGCGAAGCATGCTGGGACTGGCTTTCTAGCCTCCCGGCGGCCCCTGCGACGGGCGTACGTAAGGAACTGCCTGGCGGCGGCCGTTCTCCGTAAGATGGCTGACCGGCGGCGGCAGCGCGCTTCGCAGGACACAGAGGACGAAGAGTCTGGTGCTTCCGGCTCCGACAGCGGCGGTTCCCCGGCTCGGGGCGGCGGGGGCTGCAGCGGTAGTACTGGAGGCGGCGGCAGCGGTTCTCTGCCTTCCCAGCGCGGAGGCCGAGCTGGGCCCCTTCATCTGCGGCGGGTGGAGAGCGGGGGGGCCAAGAGCGCCGAGGAGTCTGAGTGTGTGAGTGCGCGCGGGCGGGGCGGGGCGGGGCGGGTCGGAGCCGGTGGCTTGCGGGCCGGGGGCGGGTGTAGATAGATGGTGATGGGAGGCTGAGTCGGTGGTCGATGCTGAGGCACCTTGCGTTGGAGTGGAGGCCAGCCGTCCCAGGGCGGTTTGCACCCGGAGCCCCCAGGGAAGAGGAGGGGTGGGGGTTTCTGGGAGGAGTGCAGAGCCGCTGCGGATGGACAGCGGCTGTGTGCTCAGAGACGGGGCTTGAGGCGAAGAGACCGGACCTCCCTCCGATGCTCCTTGTTAAAGATGTGCCAGTCCTCATCTCCCTTTTAACCAGTTTGTGTTGAGTCTTCAGCTCTCCGCCCTCTGGAAATCACAGACCTAACCCATGACTTCTTTCTTGCAGGAGAGTGAAGATGGCATCGAGGGCGATGGTGAGTAGCATCATGGTGGTATTTTTTGCCCCAAAACTCAGGTCACCTATGTCCAGCAGTTGGCATCTCGGGATGTTAGGGATTTGGGGGAGAGCGGTACACAGTGGCTCTTGGCAGCATAATACTAAAGAGCATAACGTTTTAGCAGCATGGTCACTCTTTGAGCCTGTTTGCCATCTGTAAATGGGAACTATAATTTTACCTACCTCATAGGTTGATATCAGATTTAAATTATATTTAGTAGTCAGGGAATGTAATTATAATTCCGTTATTTTTTTTCTTGACATATTTCGGTTTTCTTTTCAGCTGTTCTCTCGGATTATGAAAGTGCAGAAGACTCAGAAGTGAGTGTGATAGGTTTTTTCCTTTGGTGTATATATTTAAATGTATTTTAAAAACGTGTGTGTATATATATATATGTATATATATGCCTGTGGTTCAAAAGTATAATGACCTACTTGTTAACTCTTCTTTTGCATTCTTCACTTACGCTTTGGAAAAACTGATGCAAAAGGTCTTTTTAACATTTTTAATTTTATTTATTTATTGATGATAGAGAGAGAAACACTGATTTGCTGTTTCGATTATTCATTCATTCATTCATTCTTGTATGTGCCCTCACTGGGGATCGAACCTGTAACCTTGGTGTATTGGGGTGATGCTCTAACCAACTGAATTGCCTGACCAGGGCCCAAAAGATCTTGTTCATTTAGAGCAGGAGTGGGAACCTTTTTTCTGACAAGGGTCATTTTGATATTTATAACATCATTTTCAGGCCATACAAAATTATCAACTTAAAAATTATGTTGCTGTGAAAAAAGCTCCTAGATTTATGGAGAGACACACATTGATTGGTTGCCCCCTGCACACACCCCCGACTAGGGCTGGGGATTGAGCCTGTGACCAAGGTACGGGCCCTTGACCAGAATAGAATCTGGGATCCTTCAGTCTGCAGGCTGACACTGTAACCAGTGGTTCTCAACCTGTGGGTTGAGACCCCTTTGGGGGTCGAACGACCCTTTCACAGGGGTCGCCTAAGACCATCGGAAAACACATATATAATTACATATTGTTTACAGTAGCAAAATTACAGTTATTAAGTAGCAACAAAAATAATTTTATAGTTGGGGGTCACCACAACATGAGGAACTGTATTAAAGGGTCGCAGCATTAGGAAGGTTGAGAACCACTGCCCTAACCACTGAGGGCTCATTTTGAAGTAGAAATTAAAATTTTGATAAATGTGCATGTCTTTCTGGCATGCTTTTATTGTCTGTAGGAATGCTATTCTACTTTGTTTCTCATAATAATTACATATGAGATTTAAAATATTTTTTTTAATATATTTTATTGATTTTTCACAGAGAGGAAGGGAGAGAGATAGGGAGCCAGAAACATCAATGAGAGAGAAACATCGATCAGCTGCCTCCTGCACATCTCCCACTGGGGATGTGCCTGCAACCAAGGTACATGCCCTTGACCGGAATCGAACCCCGGACCCTCCAGTCCGCAGGCCGACGCTCCATCCACTGAGCCAAACCGGTCACGACACATACGAGATTTAACCATTATATTTTTCTGTTGATTTTTATGAAAAATTAGTTTTTCTGGTTTCTTAGATGTAGCTCAGAATAGCTTTTTCTAATTTCACAGAGCTCCCTTTTTGTTGTTTCCTGTAGTGTTAAAAAATATATAGTGGCTTGCTTTTTGAGATTTTCTGCTTTTATTCCTGCTAACTTGTTTTATTTCTGCTAACTTGTTTTGGAGCTTCTCTTTCCTTCATTTCTTTTATCCCTTTTCTGCTCAATATGATTCTCCTCTCAACCATTTCTCTTCAGTGTGGGACCCTATCTGAGCAAGGAACCCTGGTAGCCAGGTCAATTTCAAGATTTCAGAGGGGTTGGACTGCTCTAGCCCCATTTAGACCTCCTTATCGTAGAATCTTTATGCTTCTATGCTACCGGAGACAGTAAAATTCCTCCTAGTTTCAACTGTTCTCAGTTTTGCTTTCCATTGAATACTTGTTGATTATTTCAAGGTTCTGTTCTCAGATCCACTTCTCTCTGCTTTCTCTGCACTGACAACCAGTTTGATGCAGGTCTTGTGGCTGTTGGTGCTTTGTTCTTTTTGTGTGTGTGTACTTCGTTATGTGCTTTTATTTTAGGATGCCTTGTAACCTAGTTGTTTTTTTGGTGTTATTAGAAGGGTTTTGATTTTGCTGTCTAGAAGTTCTCATTTCATGTGGAGATTTGAAGAGATCAAAAACTATGCTACTGCCATTTTTTCAGAATCCTTCAAGAAATTTTTTTAAAGAAACCTGACTCTGAAGGAGAGGCTAGAGAGAGGTGGTAGCTGGAAAGAAGCCTGTGAGGTTAAGAGAGGGTTTGTTGGTTATTTTTTAAGGTTGGAGACTCAAGTATGGTTAAAGATGGAAAGAATGAGTAAAAGGGAAGGAAAGGAGTGAGTAGGTAACAAATGTACTGGTGGTTCTTGACTGAGTACATGAGGAAATAGGGACGTGACGAGGGAAACATCTGTAATTGTAGTTATGGAGAGGTGGGAAGGAAGGTGTGTGGGAAGAAGCTGGTGTTCCCTTCTTTGTTTTGTTTTCTCTGAGAAATAGAAGGAAAGACATGAAGAAAGAGGTTGGTGGAGAGTAGAGGTAAGAGTTGTGAGACTAGTCCAGCTGACGTGGCTCAGTGGTTGAGCATCAACTTATGAACCAGGAGGTCACAGTTTGATTCCCGGTCAGGGCACATGCCTGGGTTGTGGGCTCCATCCCCAGTGTTGGGTGTGCAGGAAGCAGCCGATCAATGATTCTTTCTCATCATTGATGTTTTTATTTATCCATCTCTCCCTCTCCCTTCCTCTCTGAAATCAATAAAAATATATTAAATTTAAAAAAAAGAGAGACTTGTGAGACTAAAAGAGGTTTTGGTAGCTGAGATTGAAGGTGACATTGATGCGTGATGTGTTTTTTTAACTCCTTTCAGTGATGGTCAGTAGTCTGTCTGTAGGCCTAGAGCAGTGGTTCTCAACCTTCCTAATGTCGCGACCCTTTAATACAGTTCCTCATGTTGTGGTGACCCCCAATTTCATTGTTACAAATTGAACATAATTAAAGCATAGTGATTAATCACAAAAACAATATGTAATTCTAAAGGGGTCGCGACCCACAGGTTGAGAACCGCTGGCCTAGAGAAAGGAGACATGAGTTGGTCCAATCCTGAGCACATGGGAATGGCAAGGGAATTGAGAGTGTTATTAGTAGTGATTAAAGAGTGTTATTAGTAGTGATTGAAGTGAATGGGCCATCGAATCTAGAGAGAGGAAAGGACTGAATGATAGGGTGAAAGTGGGAAGGTCAAGGGAGTGGATATCTCAAGTTGTAGGTGAGAGGGTAAGGGAAAAACCAGGTAAGAATAGAAATAATAGGGTTTAAAAAAAACCACACAAAACCCTTTATTAACATGCCATGTAATTTATCCATTTAAAATGTACAATTCTATGGTGTGTTTTCTTTAAATACATGAATGGGAATCCTTGTTTTTTGTTTTTTTTTTTCAGTATGTTTTTATTTCAGAGAGAGGAAGGGAGAGGGAGAGAGAGATAGAAACATTAATAATGAGAGAGAATCATTCATCAGCTGCCTCCTGCACACCCCCTACTGGCGATCAAGCCTATAACCCGGGCATGTACCCTGACTGGGAATCAAACCGTGACCTCTTGCTTCATGGGTTGACACTCAACCACTGAGCCACACTAATTCTATGTTTTTTAATGTATTCACATATATATGCGGCCATTACTACAGTTTCAGAACATTTTTATCACCTCAGAAAAAACCTTGTCATTGAGTTATCACCTCTGCCCCTAGTTCCTCCATCTGCATCTCTCCTACCCCTAAGCAACTGCAGGTCTACTTTCTGTGTCTAGAGATTTCCCTATTCTGGTCTTTCTATGAATGGAATCATAACATGTAGACTGGTGTTACTGGCTTCTTACACTTAGCTTGTTTTGAAATTGTAGCATGTATTAGTAACTTCATTGTGTTTTCTGGTTGAATAATACTTTGTTGTATGAATATGTCACATTTTGTTTACCCATTCATCCATTGATAGATATTTGGGTTGTTTCTAATTTTTCTTATTATGAGTAATGCTGCTATAAACATTAGCATGTTCAGAAATATGTTTTCATTTCTCTTGGGAATGTACCTATGATTGGAATTGCTGAGTCATTTGGTAACTCTGTTTAATTGTTTTAGGAACAGCCAAACTGTTTTCCAAAGCAGCTGTTTACATTCCCAAAAGTAATGTATGGGAATTCCAATTTCTCCACATACTAGACAGCACTTGTTATTGTCTTGATTTTTTTATTCCAGCCATCTTAGTAGGTGTGAAATGGTATCTCATTTCAGTTTGCATTTTCCTGATGACTAATGATGTTGAGCATTTTTTCTTGTGCATATCAGCCAATTTGCATACTTTCTTGGCGAAAGGGCTATTCAGATACTTTGTTCTTTTTTTAAAATTAGTTTTTACTGGTTTTGGAGAGAGTGAAAGGGAGGGAGGGAGGGAGAGAGAAAGAGAGAAACATCGATGTGAGAGAAATACATTGATTGGTTGACCCCCCACACGCCCTGGCTGGGCTGGGGATTGAACCTTTAACCCAGGTACATGCCCTTGATCTGGAATCAAACCCGTGACCCTTCATTTTGCAGGCCAATGCTCTAACTACTGAACACACTGACCAGGGTTTTGACGTTCAGCATGTTTTTCTTTTGTTGCTTGTGCTGTTGGTGTCATACCTAAGAAGCCTTTGCTGAATCCATGCCAAACCCAGAGTCATGAAGATTAACCCCATGTTTGTTTCTTTAATTTTTATTTATTATTTGAGAGAGAGAAACATTGGTTTGTTGTTTCACTTATTTATGCATTCATTGATTAAATCTTGTATGTGCTCTGACTGGAATGAAACCTGGGAACCTTCAGTACGTAGGCCAGCGCTCTATCCACTGAGCCAAACCAGCTAGGGCGAGGGTACTTTCCATTGAACCCCTTGTTTCGCCCACACAGGTAAGACTGGTCTGGAGTGTGGCCATGGACATGGTTGCCTGAAGTGGAGGTGAAGACTGTGAACTCATTGCTAAAGTATTAAAGTTAATGACGGGGCAGGCCTAGGCAGAGGCATAGAGGTATAGGCAGGTGATAGGCGCCCCCCAGAGGAGCAGGAGTTTAAAATAGGCTGGAGGAGTTGGATCTGGAAGAGACATTGAGAACAAGGAAGAACTCCACCCCTTACTCTGAAATATGTGGAGTGGAGAATGAGCTAAAACCACTGCAGTGAGAATTCTGATAGGGAAGCAATTGATTTAGAGGGGAGTTAGGCATTAGAGTTGGGAAGAATGCTCAATAAAGTGGAATCAGCAGTAGGGGAGTTTGTCTCTGGAAAAGGGTTTTGATGTTAGTTCTGAGTCAAAACAGCATGACCCTAGGGTAGCACTTTGGCTTCAGTGAGATCAGACTTTGACTTATTTGGAGTCTCCTCAGCACTATGCCATTGTATCTTTCTGCCCTACCCTGGAAACAAAATTAGTTTCTCATTTGGAATAAAAATGTTGCCTCATTTGACATTCTACCACAGACTAGAGGAGGTGGAGCATAAAACAAAGTTCCCTTATTAATCATGATACTATTTTAAGATGTTTGAATTTAGTCTGTGTGTATGTGAGAGTGTATGATTAATTAAGGTCCCATAAAACACCAAGCAAGATTCTTGCAATTTCTGCTTCAGAACCTGCACAGAACATAGGATCAAGGAAAGAACTGAAGGATTACCACACACCTATTCCCATCTCAAGAGGAGGGAAAACGTATGATTGAGGGAAAATGGAAAGAATCAAGGGTATTTGGTTTTTAAAAAGCTATGGGAAAAGGCTTAGTGTGGGTAGGATTAGGCAGTCTTCCTCAGTTCTGTGGGTTTCATACCAGTATCACCTTTCTGAGAATCTAATCCCAGACACTTAGAGGCCAAAATGCCCAGATGCTAAACAGAGAAGAATGGGGAAGAGGAATTAATTGGCTTGTCTGGACCAATCAGGCTGATTCGGTTCTCTCTGAAGAAAGGGCAAGAACTTAGAGCATCTTGCCTCATCAGGAATCTCACAGTGAGTCTCTGATCAGATTCCTGAGGCCAGCCTGCGTCTAGTTACAAAAGGGTCTGGTTGAGGTCACGGGTCAGACCCAGTAGGAGAATAAGAGTAGTTATACGCATATTTTTACCAGGTGGCAGCGCAGTGTATTAGTAGCCTGACATGTTAACCCAACAACCTTTTGGTCTGCAGGATGACACCCAACCAACTGAGCCACTAGGGCAAAGCCACTATTTTCAACTTAAGAATAATAGTGCCTGGGGAAATCATGGAGTTATTACAGAGAGTTTGCAAATCCATTAGCTCAGCTAAATTTAAAGTATTATTGAATATATAATAGTTGTCATTTTATGTCTTAGTGGATACTGCACTGAGCTGCTGTCTCATAAGATCTATGAAAAATTTAGATCTTGAAAGGGGGTTCACATAATCTAAAAGGTTGGGAATCTCTGTTCTAAGCCATTTTGTGCTGAGAGAATTCACAACTTGAGTTAACAGTATAGTTATTAGGCACTGCGTGTTTAAGAGACAATTCATGGAGAAGGAAATTATCAGTACAGATTAAAGCTCCCTTTGTATGCTAGGCACTTTACTGCCTCCTATCTATATTCCCTGGGTTCCTTCCCAGAGGCTGCTACTGTTACAAGTTGATTGCATATCTTTCTTTTTATTTTTACAGTGCCCTTATTCTCTAGAAACTTTAGTAAAAATATTGATTTTTTTGTTTTGTTTTAGTTTTTTAAAATATATTTTTATTGATTTCAGAGAGGAAGGGAGAGGGAGAGAAACATCAGTGATGAGAGGGAATCATTGATTGGCTGCCTCCTGCACGCCCTCTACTGGGGACCCAGCCTGCAACCCAGGCATGTGCCCTTGACTGGAATCGAACCCGGGACCCTTCAGTCCTCAGGCCGACACTCTATCCACTGAGCAAAACTGGCTAGGGCTGCTTTTAATTTTTAAGTTTGTTAGAAAATGTTTTCCCAAAGAATGGAAAACTTTAAAATGCACCTTTCAGCCCTGGCCGGTTTGGCTCAGTGGATAGAGCGTTGGCCTTCGGACTGAAGGGTCCCAGGTTCGATTCCAGTCAAGGGCATGTACCTTGGTTGCAGGCACATCTTCAGTAGGGGATGTGCAGGAGGTGGATGATCGATGTTTCTCTCTCTCTCCCTTCCTCTCTGTAAAAAAATCAAAATATATTTTAAAAATATAAAAAATAAAATGCACCTTTCAGCCCTGGCTGGAGTGTTGTCCCATACACCAAAAAAGGTTGTGGGTTCGATTCCAGTTAGGACACATACCTAGGTTGCGGGGTTTGGTCACTGGTCAGTTGGAGCGTGTAAGTAGGCAACCGATTGATGTTTTTCACATCAATGTTGTCGCCCCCCCCCCCCCTTCCTTTCTGGAATCAATGAAAAACATATCCTCCGATGAGGATTTTTAAAAAAACAAATTTTTTTAAAAAAAACACCTTTGTGCCCTAACTGGTTTGGCTTAGTGGATAAAGGGTTGGCCTGCGGACTGAAGGGTCCCAGGTTCGATTCCGGTCAAGGGCATGTACCTTGGTTGCGGGCACATCCCCAGTTGGGGGTGTGCAGGAGGCAGCTGATCGATGTTTCTCTCTCATCGATGTTTCTAACTCTATCCCTCTCCCTTCCTCTCTGTAAAAAATCAATAAAACATATTTAAAAAACAAACAAACAAAACACCTTTGAGATCTTTCTCCAAGGCTGACAGGGAAACTTTTTTCAGGGTGAAGAAGGGGAGTACAGTGAAGAGGAAAACTCCAAAGTGGAGTTGAAATCAGAAGCCAATGATGCTGCTAATTCTTCAGCAAAAGAAGAGAAGGGAGAAGAAAAGCCTGACTCCAAAGGCACTGTGACGGGGGAGAGGCAAAGTGGGGATGGACAGGTCAGTACCCACCGAAGGCCTCCATTTTGGGGCTGGAAGGGGGGCTTTCAACTTCAGAGGGAGTAAGGAGCCCTTTGTCCTCCAGGAGAGCACAGAACCTGTGGAGAACAAAGTTCCCAAGCACTTGGATGACGACGAAGATCGGAAGAACCCTGCATACATACCCCGGAAAGGGCTCTTCTTTGAGCATGATCTTCGAGGGCAAACTCAGGAGGAGGAAGTCAGGTAACAGCCACTTGCTGCTACTGTTTTTAGTATGGATTTAGTGTTTATTGTATGCTAGGCACTTTGCTGGAGTACTTTACCTACATTCATAACATTTTTAAAGTAAGTATTACCTCTTGTACAAATGAGGAAAGTGACGCTTAGAATATTTGGTAACTCCTGGTGTGGTAGCTAGGATCCACACCTACCCTTCCACTTGCCTTCCTTAATCTGAGGCTCAAGGCCTCTGGGATATTAAGTACCTGCATAGACTGCCTTATAGAAGAGAGGTGTTCCCAAGGTGCTGAGTAGTTTGAAGTGAAATCTTTCTTTATTTCTGTTCCTGTTGCATTTGAGCCCAGCAGGCCCTGAGGTACTGATTCACTCTTGCTTTTGGGAGGCCTGTTTTACTTCTGGAAAGATGGAAAGACTACATGAAGTTTCTTCTGATTCCATGCCCAACCCTGTTTGTTTCATGAACATCTTTACTTGACAGATTCTGCCAACCTAAGACACTTTTTCCTGGTTTTATCCAGACCCAAGGGGCGTCAGCGAAAGCTGTGGAAGGATGAGGGTCGCTGGGAGCATGACAAGTTCCGGGAAGATGAGCAGGCCCCAAAGTCACGACAGGAGCTCATTGCTCTTTATGGATATGACATCCGTTCAGCTCACAATCCTGATGACATCAAACCCCGAAGAATCCGGAAACCCAGGTGAGGAAATTTTGGAGCCTAGACTGTTGATATTGTAGAAAGAACTCTGCCTTTTTAAATACCATTCCAGCAATAATTGAATGGGTGAGGAATATGGGACATCTTCCTCACCTTCAGTTTAAGACTTTTTTATTCCATTTATTCAGGTTTGGGAGTCCTCCACAAAGAGATCCAAATTGGATTGGTGAGCGACCAAACAAGTCTCATCGCCACCAGGGTCCTGGGGGGACCCTACCACCAAGGACATTTATCAATAGGAAAGCTGCAGGTACAGGTCGCATGTCTGCTCCCAGGAACTACTCTCGATCTGGGAGCTTCAAGGAAGGTCGTGCTGGATTTAGGCCTATGGAGACTAGTGGACAGCATGGTGGCCGGTCTGGTGAGACTGTTAAACATGAGAGTAGTTACCGGTCACGGCGCCTGGAGCAGACTCCTGTGCGGGATCTGTCTCCAGAAGCAGACGCTGAAGTGCTTGGCAGTCCTGAGAAGGAAGAGGTGGCCTCAGAGATACCAGCTCCTGCTCCTGCTCCTGACACTGCACCACCGCCCCCTGACAGACCTATTGAGAAGAAATCCTATTCCCGTGTAAGAAGAACCAGGATCAAAGCTGGAGATGCGGTCAAGATTTCAGAGGAGATGCCCCCTCTACCTGAAGGGCTGACCCCCACACCTCAAGTTCCAGAAACTACTCCTTCACCTGCTAAGACTGGGAACTGGGAGGCTCCAGTGGATTCTACTACAAGTGGACTTGAGCAAGACGTGGCACAACTGAATATAACAGAACAGAATTGGAATCCAGGGCAACCTCCATTTCTACAACCACGCGAACTTCGGGGTAGGTACCTTAGACTTAGTAACTAGATCCCCCCCACCACTACCTTTGCAACACTGGGTTTAGGACATGGGACTTAATCTCAGGGGTGTGGTGTCTGATGAATATCCGTGTTTTCATTAACCGCAAAAAAACAGATGGATTCCTAGATATATTCATCCAAGGACCTCATAGCAGTTTTATCTGTTATCTAAGACTATCCTACTACCTTGCCTGCTAGTAACCAATAATGAGTTCCTGGCCCTGGCTGGTGAGGCTCAGTAGGTTAGCGTGTTGTCCCATACACCTAAAGGTGGTGGGTTCGATTCCCGGTCAGGGTACATACCTAGGTTGCAGGTTCCATCCCCTGTCAGGGTGCATATGGGAGGCAATCAATTGATGTTTCTTTCACATTGATGCCTCTCTCCCCCTCTCTCCCTCCCTCCCTCTCTCCCTCCCTCCCTCTCTCTCTCTCTTCCCCTCTCTCTTCCTCTTCCTCTCCCCCCCCCCCCTTTTCCCTCATTCCCCCTCTAAACATCCTGGGTGAGGATTTCGGAAAAAAGTGAGTTCCTAGGTGCAGAATCCTTTAGCACTCTGTAGAATAGTGGAAGAAGAAGACAGTGTTTTTATTATTTGAGCTGAGCTAAGGTTAAAGTTTGAAGGCAGAAACATATTCATTTGAATTTGGATGGGAATCTTCTAATCTCTTTGAAAAGAAAGTCTCTCTAATTTCCTTAATCTAGAGGCAGGCTACCTAAAAGAACTTTCTGTGATGATGGTACATTTTTTTATTTTTTAAATTTATTTATTTATTTATTATTTCAGAGAGGAAGGGAGAGGGAGAGAGAGATAGAAACATCAGTGATGAGAGAGAATCATTGATTGGCTGCCTTCTGCATGCCTCACACTGGGGATCGAGCCTGCAACCTGGGCATGTGCCCTGACCAGGAATCAAACCGTGACCTCCTGGTTCATGGGCTGACTCTCAATCACTGAGCCATGCCAGCCAGGCATGATGGTGCTTTTGAATACTTGTAATGTGGCCAGAGTGTCTGGGTAACTGACATTTTAACTTTAAACATTGAAATTTAAATAGCCTCATGTGGCTAGTGCAGTGGTCGGCAAACTCATTAGTCAACAGAGCCAAATATCAACAGTACAACGATTGAAATCTCTTTTGAGAGCCAAATTTTTTAAACTTAAACTATATAGGTAGGTACATTGTTATTAATTAGGGTACTCCTAAGGCTTAGGAAGAGCCACACTCAAGGGGCCAAAGAGCCACCTGTGGCTCTCGAGCCGCAGTTTGCCAACCACGGGGCTAGTGGATATCGTATTGAACAGCACAGTTCTAGAGACTAGGACCTATCTACCACCCATTTTGCCCATCCTTTGTCTTCCTCCAACCAGATAGATCAAAGAATCTTTTCCCTCGTTTCTGAAATCTAATTTGAACTTACAGATTGGAAATCCTCATGTAGTCTGGGAGTTTCAGCATCCTTCTCTGGTGTGCATGGTTTTTGAACAGCAAAAACCAGTGTCATCTCAACTGGGTCTGGAGTTGATCTTTGGATCAAGGAGCATACCCTTCCATTGATATCTTATTATCATTGGAAAACAATCTCTAAAAATGTAATCTTTTTTTGTTGTTGGTCTGAGTCATTTTCAGCCAGAAGGGAATCTCTTCCCAAGCTTCCAGGCCAGACCGTGGTGGCTAGGGTAGGTTTACAAAACATTCCTCACTTTCCAGTTGTTGCTCAGAAACGTTTGGGCTGATATTTTTTACTGTGTTTGATAATGTAATGTGCTAATTGTAACCCCCCAGTGATTCTGTGCGGGGAATTATTTGGTGGGGAAATTTTGAATGTGTATTTTCTCACTTAAGTAAATTTTTTTTAATTTTCAAAGGCTTTATTGCGGTATTAAGGTGATGGACAATGGGGGCAAATATCCAAATGCTGGCATTGACAGGAAGCAGAGACAGTTTAAAAGGGATTCCGTTAGATTATAAGCTGAAAGCCATTTACTTTATTTTCTTGATGGTATCTGTGAGTCGCACATCTGTCTGCTCTGCAGCGGTGACTTTTTTGGTGTGTTACAGGTATGCACAACCACATACACATGGGAGCAGGACCTCCACCTCAGTTTAACCGGATGGAAGAAATGGTACAGAAAGGGAAAAGGGGTAGATGGAGGAGGGAAAGGGAAATGCGTGTAATAGCTTTTGAAATCACTTTTCCCACAATTACCTATGTTTTGTTTTATTTTATTATTATTTTTTAAAAAATTTGTATTGATTTCAGAGAGGGAGAGGAAGAGAGAGAGAGAAATATCAATGATGAGAGAGAATCCTTGATTAGCTATCTCCTGCATACCCCACACTGGGGATTGAGCCCACAACCCGGGCATGAGCCTTGACTGGGAATCGAACCGAGACCTGGTTCATAGGTCGATGCTCAACCACTGAGCTCTGCCATCTGGGCACCTGTGTTTTGTTTAATTTGGGTCTCCAGAAGTGTAGAGGGTTTAGGTTCCAATCTTGATGTTTTTCACTGATTTTTCAATTCATTTTTAAATACATGCCATATACAAAGTCCCACATAAAGGAGGGTGGGGACTTGAATGAGACTCAGCCTTCTGGAAGTCTTCTGCTCAGGCCTGTTTCTTTATTTCAGGGTGTCCAGGGTGGGCGAGCCAAACGCTATTCATCTCAGCGGCAGAGACCTGTGCCAGAGCCCCCGGCCCCTCCCGTGCATATCAGTATCATGGAGGGACATTACTATGATCCACGTGAGCTTTTTTCTTAATGTTGGGGTATCTTTTTTAGCTTGGTGAAGCATACTAAATAGACCAGCCTCCTGCCTTCTGCTTTTCTTTCTGACCTCTCACAGTGGTTGTCATTATCTGGTTGATGCTTTCTTCACATGGAAAATTGAGAACATCTCTTAAAGGGTTTGGGAGATGGGCAGACTTGTCCATGTGATATGAAGAATGAGAGTTTATGAGAATCCCAATGTGATGTTTTACAGTGCAGTTCCAGGGACCAATCTATACCCATGGAGACAGCCCTGCGCCACTGCCTCCTCAGGGCATGATTGTACAGCCAGAAATGCACCTTCCCCACCCAGGTAAGCATTGCACCTATCCTTGTGTGCTTCCTGTACATGAGGATGTGTATTGGGGGCTTTACAAACCCCATCCTCCTGAGCTCAGTGCTGCTTGCCTCTGAGGCTGGCCACTCTGGCTGCTTGGGCAACAGAGCTCATGGGTCCATCCTAAGGACTTCCATCCCGAGCCTGTCTATGCTGGAACTGGTCATTTTCTATTTTAATTTGTTTCCCTCTCCTTATTCAGGTTTACATCCCCATCAGACACCAGCACCTCTGCCCAATCCGGGCCTCTATCCTACACCAGTGTCCATGTCTCCAGGACAGCCACCACCTCAGCAGTTGCTCGCTCCTACTTACTTTTCTGCTCCAGGAGTCATGAACTTTGGTAATCCCAGCTACCCTTATGCTCCAGGAGCACTGCCTCCTCCACCACCTCCTCATCTATATCCTAATACACAGGTGAGATATCTAATGAACAGATTTTTAAATTAGACAGGAATGTGGTATGGGGAGAATGCTCAAGAAATTTGAGAGAATATTTCAATGCCACTAATTTACATGTGGTGCCCGGATGCCTCTTAGTGGTCAGCACCTGGAAATGCAGCTTATGTAATGCCCATCATCTGTTTATTCTCTTCCATTTCTTTTTTTATTTTTAAAATTTTTATTGACTTCAGAGAAGAAGGGAGAGGGAGAGAGAGAAACATCAATGATGAAAGAGAATCATTGATTGGCTGACTCCTTCCTGTATGCCCCGTACTGGGGATCAAGCCCACAACCTGGGCATGTGCTCTTGACCAGAATCAAACCTGGGACCCTCTATTCACTTAGCCAAACCAGCTAGGGCTCTTCCATTTCTTTAATGGTGTTTCATTTAAGTGTTTTAGTATGTCTTAGGTGGCCATTTATTCAACAGCATAAAGAAACTATTCTGTTTACCAGCCCTATCTCTCCCTGTACTGCTTAACTCCCCATAAGTTGAAACCATCTGGTATCTAGTGTCATCACTGAGCTCAGCCTCTTCCATTTGTCAACTGATGGTAGGAATTAGAGAAAGCTGGGCAGTACTTTGAAGAAATAGGAACTGGAGCATAATTAGACATAGTAAGACAGAAATGAATATTCATTTTATTTTTAAGGGGTGCAGCTTAGAGATTTAAAAAATTATAAATTCCGTAATACTTTTATTTTTGCGCCTGAATAATGTTTAATGTTTTCTGTTCATCATAGTTTGGATTAAGTCCTAACTTTCTCTTCTGGCTTGTGGGGTGTCCAGGCCCCATCACAGGTATATGGAGGAGTGACTTACTATAACCCCGCCCAGCAGCAGGTGCAGCCAAAGCCCTCACCACCCCGGAGGACTCCCCAGCCAGTCACCATCAAGCCCCCACCACCTGAGGTATGAGAGCTTCTTCCCATGCTTTAGGGCACATCCTGCATCGGTGGGCTTTCCTTTTCTTCAGAAGATTTCCCTTCTGTTCTGGGTGTGTTTTTATTGAAACAGTTGTCTTTTTTTCTTTTTTCTTTTCTTGTCTTTTTTTAATGACCTGATAACAGATTCTAACTTTATTATTTCAGGTTGTAAGCAGGGGTTCCAGTTAATATGAATTTCTGAATATTTTAAATCTAACATGATATAAAAGTAAGTGCACAACTTACTGTGACTCTCATAAAACATTCTTAAAACTAATGCTCATGCTTACTTGTTTAACAATCGCCTAATTAATTCTTTAAGTTGTAAACATGGGTTATCATGGGAGGAGGCTTAAATCCCAAAATTCACTAGTCTTTGTTTTGATATTGCATTGAACAGGGTTGAAATAGAAAACATTATTAACTTGGCAGAATTTCATTTGGGAAGCTGCAAGGAAAAAATGCAGGAGGGTGTTTTTTATTAAGGAAATCTAAATTTGAGGTGTTACCTCCGCCATAAAAAAAGAATAAAGTCTTACCATTTGCAAACCAAGTTGAAACGGACTCATAGATAACAGAGAACAGACTGATGGTTACCAGAGGGGAGGGGTACTTGGGGAACTGGGTGAAAAAGGTGAAGGGATTAAGTACAAATTAAAATAGTCATGGGGAATGTAAAGTATAGCATAGGGAATATAGTCACTATATTGTAATAACTATGTGTGGTGTGCCAGGTGGGTACTGGAAATATCAGGGGGAACACTATGTCAAGTATATGATTGTTTAACCACTATGCTGACCACCTGAAACTAATACAGAATAATATTGAATGAAAGGTCTAATTGAAAAATAAAAAATTATATGTTAAAAAACAAATTTGAGATGTTACAGTTAGAGCCAATTCTAAAGGTCATGGAGGAAAAAGACTATAGGGGTTTTGTTTTTGGCGGGGGGAAGGGGGGAGTATTACTTTAAAACACATTATTTAGAATGTGGCTTTTTGAAAGCAACTTGTAAATACGGAGAAGGTCCACTAACACCTTGGTGGTTCTTCCCTTTTCCCCACCCCTGTCAGAACAGCAAAGGTGAGAACCCAGGAAAGAAGAGAAATACAGCTGGCTGTCTACTACCAGGAGGGCTTCAAAGATAAAGGGTGGCTCCTACCAGCAAGCAGCTGAATGAGGAGGACCCCTGGCTCCCTCTGAGGACAGGCTCTGTTAGAGACAGGGAGAAACAAGTGGACTTCCTACTGTCTCCACTCTCTGCTGGAGTTAGCTGTGCTCAGAGGAGCAGAGATCAGACAGCCCACATCTAGTCTACATCTAGAAAACCCAGGTTTTTGGCTCTTCTTCACTTGTCCTGGGAAATTCAAATGTCTTCTGCTGCTCCCAGGGAAGCTCCTTCCTGTTTGTTTTGTCTCTCTTTCTCTCTCTCTCTCTCTCTCTCTCTCTCTCTCTCTCTCTCTCTCTCCCCCCCTCCCTCCTTCCCACCCCCACCCCCGCCTTTAAATGAAAAAAGTTCATTTTTCTGGTTTGCTGGCTCCTCTGGTTCCCTTTTGGTTCTTCCCTACAGTGCAGATAATTGAGAATTGCCAGCTGGTCTTTTCCCACCAGATCTACAGAGAGCTGGCCTTTCACTTTTGGTTGGACTTTGTTATATACTTGGATTCTCTTAACTTCTCTAATCTCAAAGTTTGTGGTAGGAGCCCTTCTTCTTGACTTCAGTTTTTAGGAGCCTGAGTCTCCGTCATTAGTCTCTGGTAGTCTTCAGGCCTCTACTGAGGATAGAGTCTGTACAGTGGGGAGCGATGGCAAATCAGTGTTTTTGTGAGAAAGGGAGGGTGGAGTGAGAGCCTTTGCACCTTAGGGATATGTATTCACACAGTCCTCAGGGCTCAGTCTTTGAGGTAAGTGGAATTAGAGGACCCTGCTTTTCTTATTTCCACCCCTCCTAACACACTCCTTTTCCAGTTGCTGTGGACCAATGCATCTCTCTAGAGGCAGATATTATCCAGCAAGCAATCTATCTATCCTGTCCTTTATACTTGCTCTTTTTCATGTATTGTCTGCTGCAAGTGTTTTAGGTGTTACTACCTTATTTTCCTATAGTTCTACTCCTGTCCTTGCAAGCAGAAGAAGGTACAGCACCTGGGCTTAAGGCCTAAGGAAGCCAGTCACTTTTGCGGCAGGGGCTCCTTTCCTCCCTATCCACGGCACTGAACCACTTTCCTGCTGCCTCTGCAGAAGAGATTCCTATTATTGCAGCACTTGTGTCTGCCAAGGGTACCTTGGCCACTGTCTCTGTCCTTCTACAGAACTTGAGGGAGAAGGTGGCAGCTATGTCTCTCCCCAAGTAATGTCACTGTTTGTATTCCTTCTCTTAAGCAGCTGGCCTGACCGCTCTTGAGTCCATAGTATGTGGGAGGGAGGAGAGGCACTCAAGCTGTAACCCTAAAGGAGGAAATATCTAAGAGATTCTTCCAGGGGTAGCTGGTGGTTGTGCCTGTGGTAGGCTCTTCCCTTTGCCTTAAACCTGAAGATGTCTCCTCAAGCCCGTGGGCAGCATGCCCAGATTCCCAGACCTGAAGACACTGTGACAGTTGTCTATGTTGGTCCACTGTGTTTCGTTGCAAGAATTTCTTGTTGTTGTTACTGTTTTAAAAGGTACACATTTGTGATCAGTATTGTGACTTGACGATAATAAAATTTAGACTGTAAACTTGGCTTTTTTGCATTCATTTTGATTTGAGAGGGAGGGAAGATGACTTCTTAATTCCCCAGAGTCAGTCACAATTTGAGCCGGCTCAAACTTGTGAAACGGAAGCCCACAGAGGTGAGGCTCCCCTGTGAAGCCACAAGTGTGTCTGTACTCCCCATCGCTTATCTTTCCAAACCACATTGCCACACGGACTCCAGGATATCCTGCAGTCCCTTAGTTTGGAAGTGTCAGGGACAAAAATTAGTAAGATGCTGCGTACCTATGTGAACATCATATCCCTTAGGCCTGCCTTTGTGTTTAGCAAGTAAGTTTCCCAAGATAATGTGCCAAATGTCAGTACAGCTGTACTAAGTCCTAGAAGAGGGTGAGGTTCAGCTAGCTTTCTTCTTGAAAAGTAAAGACTCACACTGGCACTGAAGTATCAAAGACCACAGTCTAAGAGAGAGGTTCCTATCAATCTTAGTACAGGCAGCGTGGAGGGGCCATTGAAAGACCTCTAGCTGCGGCTTATGCTGCCAGTTAGTTACCTTTGCCACTTGGCCTGTGATGAGCACAGGGCAGTTCCTAGCTTTGAGTTGACTGTTTCCTCCAGATCCAGGGTCGGGTGGAAGTTTACTACAGAAGCTATCCACAGTGTGGGGGAGCAATTGAATTTAATATGGAGCTGGCAGTATCTGTTCTTGAGTCGCACAAATCTTTGTGCACTGGGGGCATGGACATCATGGCACAACTTAAAATGACAGTTGGAACTCCCCCTCCACCCTTGGGTGGTGGTACAGCCAGAGGACCATGACTTTCCTCACCTCCATCCCCATTCCTCTTCAGATCATGTCAGTTTCCTTCCCTTCCCCATAGAGTGATGGGTATTTCTGGGCCTGATCTGGGGTCATGTAAATAGTGCCAGTCAGCCTTGGGGGTGGTTACTGGCAGGAGGAATGAGCGGTTTAAGATACTTCCCCCTCACCCCTGCCTCTTGCTTCCTCAGATCCCATTGCTCTCTGTTGCCCTGGTAACCAGCTCAGCAAGAAGAAACTCAAGCTCAGCAAAGCCCCCAGGTTCTCTGTCCTCCCAGCCTGCCTCTCAGTGGGCAGAACAGAAAAGTGTAAGGGCAGACAGAATGGGCCTTGGGTAGCCTTGCCCATCCCCTTCTGGAAGTCCATGGGCTTCTTGCCTGCATCTCCTCGCAGTTGTTAATTATACTACCCTCTTTCCCTCATTTTCTTCCATGATAGAGTATAGGTGCCCTCCAGCCCTCCTCCCCCTTGGGGTCAGCACACACGTCTGCTACCCTGTGGGCGAAAGATAAAGAATCCCAGAGTCTCAGTATCTGCAGCCACTTGGGTTGGGGTGTCCCGCTGGGGCAGTGATTTTCAATCCTGGCTATTTGAATTACTTGGGGATCTTTTTAAAAATACCACAGTCCAGCGTTGTTGCTCAGTGGTTGAGCATCAGCCAATGAACCAGGAGGTCACAGTTTGGTTCCCGGTCAGGGCACATGTCTGGGTTATGGGCTCAATCCCCAATGTGGGGTGTGCAGGAAGCAGCCAATCAATGATTCTCATCATTGATGTTTCTCTCTCTCTTCTCTCCCTTCCTCTCTGAAATCAATTTTAAAAAATATTTTTTAAAAATACCACAAACCTTGGCACCCTCTCAGTATTTTTTTAAAATATATTTTTAGTGATTTCAGAGAGGGAGAGAGAGAAACATCAATAATGAGAATTATTGATCGGCTGCTGCCTGCAGACCCCTTAGTGGGGATCGAGCCCGCAACCTGGGCTTATGCCCCTGACCAGAATTGAACCCAGGACCCTTCAGTCGGCAGGCCAACACTCTATCCACTGAGCCAAACCAGCTAGGGCTCTCAGTATTTTTGAAAAGTTCCCCTGGATTCCAGTGTGCAGTTGGGGTAAGTACCACTGCTGTTCAAGGAAAACCATGACTCGATACTGGCTTTCCTCCCTGATTTAAGGTCTTGAACTTATTCTCTGCCTAATATCCTTGAGTAGTTGGGGGGATCCTGGGGTCCTGCTCCCAAAGCTTCCAGTTTCTAGAATCCTCTCTGCCCCTTTTATTTTCAGCCCCCACATTCTCCACACTCGCCAGTTCTTCCCCCTTCCTAACCGACAATCCCAAATCCTGCCCAGAGAGGAGGTTACCAAGGCAACCAGCTTAATCTGGTAACTGTGGCATGTGCTGGAGTGGAACCCTCCCCTTTTCTTATTTGGTTCATAAAATGCCTGGAGAGCTCCAAGCCACTCCAGCCAGTTGCCCCTCTTAACCCCAGGGATATTAGGGTGTCTAATACAGGGAGCCCAAGAAGCTGATACTTGGGTCTCTATTTCAGCTTCTTAGCCAAAACTGTGCTCTCTCCTATTTACTGTTCCCTTTCTAAATCCACAAACATATGGGTATGCGAGCTCATTTCTGTGAACACATGCTCTAGCATACATAGGACCAGATATGCGCACACCCCGATATGCCAGTAGTGCACACCCTGTTCGATTCTACCACCACTCCCAGCCTTTAGCATTCCTGTCCCTGCCTGGTTGGTACACAGTAAGCGGGTGCGGCGTTGTCCAAGGCGCCTCAGCCCATCTGGAACCTGGTGCCACTCCCCAACCTTGTTACCTTAATCTCGATGTGCTTACACTGAGCCTGTCTCTCTACCCACTTCCTCCTCAGGAACAGAATGCTCCTGGCATAGGCATCAGGAATAAGGACTATTTGGAGTGCAAATTTGGCACCACTTTCCCCACTCCATGGTTGTGTCAACTCTGGGGAGCTCGCTATACTTAATGTCAGATGGCAGCGCTGGAGCTTGTCACCCATCTCCACAGCCCTGCTTCTTTCTGCTGCCAGCTGGGCTTAGGTGCCCTTGTGCTCCTGGTCTCCTCCCCCTGCCGACTGTCTCTTCTCACCCCAACTAGACCTGCCACAACCTGCTGCTCCCCACCTGGCTCCTACCTGCCTGCCAGTACCTGCCTTTCACAGGCCAGGCCCTCACCATCTATTGTGCCCTGCCAGAAAGGTTAGATGAGTGCCGCCTCCAGGGCCAATGCCAATCCACCCCAGGCCTTCCCAGCCCTTCTTGCAGGAAGGGAGATAAAGACCACATATTCCTGTAAGTGTGTCAACAGAGTAAACCATCTGGGTTGAGAGTGATGGATACCCAATCAGCAATCTTTGTAGGTCTCACCTGAGTACAGGTAGGTGCGTCAAGGCATGCAGGCCACAGACCTGCCCTGGTTCTTTGAAATGACCCTAGGTTCCTCTGTAAGCCCCCGAGCCAGGAATCCCTCGCCATTGGTGTATCACTCTTACTTTGCCCTGAATTTCTGCGTCTTCTCTGAACTCTCCATCCAACCCCACTCAGCTCCTTACAATCCCAAGTGGTCCCCGTAGCCCCCATGACCAGCCCCAACGCCCAAGTTCAAGCCTCGCGCGGCCCAGGGGGCGGGCCCAGGAAGGGAAGGGGCGGGGCCTGGGCGGGGCCTGGGCGAGGGGGCGCGGTCTCCGCTCTTCCACCTTCCCCGCGGTCAGGAGCGCCGCCGCGTCCTCTCAGCCTCGCGCTCCGCCCGCTGCCTCCGCCGCCGCAGCCCGGCCCACGAGCGCAGCGCCGGGGCACCGGCCCCGCATCCGACCCATCCTTCGGGCCGCGGGCCGGCTGCAGCCGGCATGGGAGGCCACTAACGACGGGCACCCCTTCCCTCTGGCACCTCCCCGGGCCACTGGCCACTGGACTCCGGCCAGCGAGCCTCGGGCACCTCTGGCCCCCGGTCCGGCGCCTGGCACGGCCCTCCGCTCTGCCCCTCCGGCTCTGAGCATCGCGTCCCCGCCCCCCCGCCCGCGCCCGGGACACCTGGGTCCCCCGGCGGCCCCGAGAAGAGGGGCGGGTGGGGGGGCATGAAGCCGCTGGAGAAATTTCTGAAGAAGCAGACGTCGCAGCTGGCGGGGCGAACGGTGGCGGGAGGTCCCGGCGGGGGCCCGGGGAGCTGCGGTGGGCCCGGCGGGGGTGGGGGACCTGGCGGGGGCGGCGGTTCAGCCGGGGGACCGCGGCCGCTGCAGCGGCGTCAGAGCGTATCTCGCCTGCTGCTCCCCGCTTTCCTGCGGGAGCCCCCCGCTGAGCCGGGGCTGGAGCCGCCCCCAGAGGAGGAAGGTGGAGAGCCGGCGGGGGTCACGGAGGAGCTCGGCGGCAGCGGGGGACCCTGTTGGCTGCAGTTAGAGGAGGTGCCGGGGCCCGGGCCGCTCGGGGGAGGGGGGCCGCTGCGGTCCCCTTCCTCGTACTCCTCCGACGAACTGTCCCCGGGCGAGCCCCTGGCTTCCCCACCCTGGGCCCCCCTGGGCGCCCCGAGCGGCCGGAGCATCTCCTGAACCGGGTTCTGCAGCGGCTGGCCGGAGGGGCCACCAGGGACAGCGCCGCCTCAGGTAAGGAAGGAGTCGGCTGGCTCATCCAGCCCAGAGCAGGGGGTTGCCACCTGGTTCCTCGCCCTCGCCCTTGCAGCACGGGCTGGCGCTCTGCTGGAGCCCGGGTGTGCGGTTGAGTGGTCGGCCGAAGTGGGGTAGGGGCTCATCGGAGGAACAGAGTGGCAGGACCACCTGGCTCCCGGTAGCAGCCTCACCCACAGCTGGAGAAGAAGCTGAACCTCTGTCTTCCCTTAAGCCACCCTCCCTTTCCCCTGGACGTTTTACCCACAGACTCTTGGGTCTCTGATGTTGTTCACCTCCTCCTGGGGCCCAAAATTAGGGCCTGACACACTAAGATGGAAGCTGCCCAGAGCAGCCGTGCTCCCCTCCCCCCACCGAGGTGCCCAAGCCTGAAAGACCTTCCAGGAGTCCCCCCTTTCGGTTTAGAAGCCCAGAGCGGAGGGCTGGCCCAACCAGTGGGGCAGTGCCAGACCGGCACAGGGCCTGAGCTGGGTTTGGGGTTCCGGCAAAGGGATGCATTGTCCTTAGCCGCTTGGGAGTGGAGGGAGGTGTTCCAGTTGGGGGCTGACTCAGAGA